TCTTAATGCAGAAGGTATGGGAAATGTCAGAGTGACTCTGAACAATGGGAAAATAGCATTGATTCAGAATGTGTGGTATGTACCTGGCATCAGAAGCAATCTGATGAGTGTGGGACAATTAATTGAGAAAGGTTTCTCAGTTACCATGAAGGACAATCTTCTGAAGCTGTATGACTGTAATCAGAAGTTGATTATGGAGTCAGAACAGGGAAGGAATAGAACATTCAAGGTGAATGTCAGAACTGCAGACTCAGAGTGTCTTAGTGCAACAAGTACTGAGAAGGAGAGTGAGCTGTGGCACAGAAGATTTGGTCATTTGAATTTCAGAAGCTTACAACATCTGAATTCAAAGAAATTGGTACATGGAATTCCTGCAATTAAGAAGCCTGAAAAGTCATGCAAAGTTTGCATGGAAGGAAAACAACCAAGATTGCCATTTGCATCAGAAGTTGCTCCAAGAGCAAAACATGCCTTGGGAGTTGTACATTCTGATGTGTGTGGTCCATTTCCAGTAGCATCAATTGGAGGGAATAAGTACTTTGTGTTGTTTGTTGATGAATTCACAAGAATGACGTGGGTATCCCTTATTAAATTTAAACATGAGGTGTTTGATGAATTCAAGAAGTTCAGAATGAAGGCTGAGAATCAGAGTGGTCAGAAGTTGAAGATTCTTAGAACTGATGGTGAAGGTGAGTATAACTCCAAAGAGTTCCAGAAGTTCTGTGAGGAGAATGGAATTGAGCATGAGGTTACTGCTCCTTATACCCCTCAACACAATGGTCTTGCTGAAAGAAGAAACCGTACTTTGCTTGATATGGTGAGAAGCATGCTAAAGGAGAAGAAGCTTCCTCAGAAGCTCTGGGGAGAAGCTGTTGCCACTGCAACGTATGTACTCAATAGATGTCCTACGAAGAAGTTGAAGGAAATAGTTCCTATGCAAAAGTGGACTGGAGACAAGCAAAGTGTTAGTCATCTGAAGGTATTTGGTTCTGTTTGCTATAAACATGTTCCAGAAGCCAGAAGACAGAAGCTGGATGATAGAAGCAAAGTGATGATTCTGATAGGGTACCACAGTACAGGTGCATACAAGCTCTATTGTCCAGAAACCAATAAAATTGAATTCAGCAGAGATGTGATTGTGAAGGAATCAGAAGTTTGGAATTGGGATAAGTCTCAATCTGATTCTGATGTTAGAACCTCTGAAGAAAGGCCAGAGTTAAGAATTTCTGAAGTTGAAGTAAACCCTGATATTGACTCTGACTCTGATACTGATTCAAACTCTGAAGAAGACTCAGAAGATGAAGGTGACCCAGATGACCCAGACTCTAATGATTCAGACTCTGATGGCAATCCAGATCTTGGTGGCAATTCAGACTCTGGAAATATGCCAGACTCTGAAGATGGTCAAAGCTCTGGAGGTCAATCATCTGAAGCTAGAAACTCTGAAGCTCAAGACTCTGAACAAGTTCAGAGACCACAAAGAATCAGAAGCGTTCCCAGAAGATTTGCAGAATTTGACATGCTGCAAGACACTGAAGTAGACTCTGAAGGAGAAGCTATTCAGTGTGCCATGTTAGTAGACTCTGAACCTATAAGTACAGAGGAGGCTCTTAAGCAGAAGCTCTGGCTGAAGGCCATGAAAGAAGAACTTGATGCTATAGAGAGAAACAAGACTTGGAAGCTGACAGAACTTCCAAAAGACAAAAAAGCCATCAGCGTCAGATGGGTTTTCAAGCAGAAGTTAAAGCCAGATGGCTCAATTGGCAAACATAAAGCAAGGTTGGTAGCCAGAGGATTTCTACAGAAACCTGGGCTGGATTATTCTGAAGTGTTTGCACCTGTAGCAAGACATGAAACAATCAGAATGGTGATTGCAATAGCTGCTAACAGGAATTGGCCTCTGATGCATTTAGATGTAAAATCTGCATTTCTGAATGGTCCATTAGAAGAAGAAGTTTACGTGTCACAACCTCCTGGATTTGTGAAAAAGAATCAGGAAGGGATGGTGTACAGATTATACAAAGCTCTATATGGATTGAAACAAGCGCCCAGAGCTTGGAATCAGAAGATTGATTCATTTTTCAAGAAGCAAGGCTTTCAGAAATGTGAGATGGAGTACGGTGTCTATGTTCAGCATACTCCTGAAGGCAATATGACTCTGGTATGTTTATATGTTGATGATATACTGCTGACTGGAAGTTCTGAACAGGAGATAGCCAAGTTCAAGAAAGTTCTAATGAATGAATTTGAAATGACTGATCTAGGCAAAATGACATACTTTCTAGGGATGGAGTTCAGATATTCTGAGAAAGGTATCATTTTGCATCAGCTCAAGTATGAATTAGAACTTCTGAAGAGATTTGATCTGAAGAATTGTAAGATGGCTGTCACACCTTCTGATACAAATCAGAAACTGGATTCAGACTCTGAAGGAAAGGATGTGGATGCTACAACCTTCAAACAGTTGGTTGGTTCTCTGAGGTATCTGTGCAATACCAGACCTGATATTTGCTACTCAGTTGGGATGGTTAGTAGGTTCATGAGTAAACCTAAGTGGTCCCATTACCAAGCTGCTGTCAGGATTCTGAGGTATATCAAAGGAACTCTGAAGTATGGAGTGTTATTTCCCTCTGGAGGAAATAATGAGTCAGAACTTCTGAGTTATTCAGACTCGGATTGGTGTGGAGACAGAGTTGACAGAAGAAGTACATCTGGGTACTTGTTCAAATTTCTGGGAGGTCCCATTTCTTGGTGTTCCAAGAAGCAACCTGTTGTGGCGTTGTCAACCTGTGAAGCTGAATACATTGCAGGTGCTGTTACTGCATGCCAAGCTGTGTGGATTCTGAATCTGTTGCAGGATCTGAAGATTAAGGTAGACAAACCTCTGAAGTTGATGATTGACAACAAGTCTGCAATCAACCTTGCCAGAAACCCAGTGCTGCAAGGGAGAAGCAAGCATATTGAGACCAAGTATCATTTTCTGAGACATCAAGCTCAGAGTGGAGTGTTAGAAGTTGTACACTGCAGCACTCAGAAGCAGTTGGCAGATGTTCTGACGAAAGCTATCAAGACTGATCAATTTCTCAGATTAAGGGATGGAATTGGTGTTACAAGTTTTGATGGAATATGAATTAAGGGATGGTATTAGTAATAATTCATATTTTATTATATTATTTTCTTAAGCCCATAAGTTTGTTAGAGGGCATTTCAGTATTTTATCTTATTCTAGTAACCCTAGTTTTAGCCTATAAATAGGGTGACAATCATTGTAACTCTTAATACTGTTTCTTCTGCCGTCATTCTCTTTAATAGAATATTTCCCTATTTTCATCATTCTATCTTTGCACCAACAACTTGTACATGTAGTAGCATGTAAAATCCCTGACTTTTTGGTTATATTGAATGTTGTCCAGTATTTTGGAATTCATCCTGATATATGGTTGTTTGAATGTAATGGGTTTGATGTAAGTAAAGTCAAGAAGAAAGGATAAAACGCAAGCCAAATGCAGTAATGGACTTGATGCATTGAAGAAGAAAGTCAGGTCAAATCCATTAGGCGGGTAAAAATAGAAATCAAGTTTGTCATTTGGAAATTATCTTATACATAATTTCATATAAATTTTAGATCTTTAGTTAGTTTTATAGTTTAGAAAAAATCTCAGTGAGAGGAAGCTAAATGGTTGTAATGTCGAAAATCTGAAGGTGGATCGACTAAAGACTCTAATATCATCTGAATGAGATTTTGTTTCTACGCCTTTTGTCTATCTACCTTCATCATATGTTGCTAAGTTCTTTTTTGTTAGGAATATGTTTGTACATTTTAATGTATTTTATATGATCATGATATTATGTTCAATTTAATCAATCAAACATAAACATATATGATCTTTTATCTTTTTTATACATGTATGATGCTTATGGATTTATGAGGTGGTGAGAAGCTTTCATAGGTTTAAATCAATGGTAACTTGTGATTATTTATTGAAGGACATAACCGTTCATGATAGGTGAATCTAGCTTATACAAAGAGGTGTTGTTAGATTTATATCTGAATAATTATATATCATGAACTAGATTTTAGACATAAATTTAAACATATTATTTTCATGTACTATTGAAATGATATTATTTTCATGTATTATTGAAATATAATGCTATTAAACTGAGAGATCGTGGAATAAATAATAGGATTGATATTGCGATGTTCCTTCCAATATGGATATCATTGTTGAGCAAATAATGAATAATATGAATTGATGATTAGAATGAACATAATTGATCATTGATATGCATAATCATAATAATTGCAACCTAACTCAAACACTTCCTATTACAAATAGTTTACTATTTTACTTACTTTTTTTTTCGAGAAAAAAACATTTTCAAATTGAACCCTTTTACTATTTAGAATAATAATCATCGCAAATAAGTTTGTGGATACGATAATAATTGCAAATATGATTTTTAATGGCAGACATGATAATAGATAAGCCAAAAAAAAATAAGTGATAAAAGAGATATATTCAAATTTGAATGAGATGCAGAATAAAAAAAACAAAAATATCTTAATCCTTTACTGTATAGATGCTTGTTATATTATAAAGAGGGACATCCTTTGTTAATGAATACAAATCCTGACCCTATGATTAGAAGGTGAGTTCAAGGTACAAGGTATACCTTGTTCTTTTTAATGGAGGAACCTGTAATTTGGTATATCCAGCAAACAGCAAATGGAGAAATAAAATGAAAGTGTTCACATTCCTAGAAAAATAAATTCCAGATTGAAAGTCATAAAATAACATGAGATAAAGACATTCTCAGTTTGCTCGTTAAAGGAACAGAAAACAAGCTCAATACAAAGACAAAAAATTAGAGAAACTTCATTTGATTACAGAAAAATACTAAAGCAATAAAGTTTAATACAGAAGCCTAGCATAGCAAGGAATAAACTACAAAACATAATCTCATTGAATAATTGATGAATGTGCCATGGCAAGCCATCACTTTAGGTCTACATTAACAGCATCAGGAGCGGGATCTGAATTGGCGTCGCCTGTTTCCATCTTAATTGTTTCATCTAATTCATCCTCCATCATATCATCCTCTCCGGCATTTATATCTTCCACATCATCATCTTCATCTTCATTATTGCTTCCGTCGGGAATTTTTCTTTTCTTGGGACCATGCTCGAGCCTATGAGTATCCAATTCTTTGTCCATAGTTTCTTGTAAATTCTGGTCATTAATGTTTACTTTCCTTGCATTCCTCGCATTCTGCCATCTCTCCAAATCCTTCTCGACATTGGCAAGATACTGGTCCCCAATTTGTTTTTGATACTCAGACAATTCCTCTCTTCTTGCATTTTTCCATTCAAGGAAATCCTGCAAATCGCAAAGATGGGCATTACATAAAATACCGATATTCACTTTAAAAGCCAATAGTCTTGAATCCAATGTGCCCGTAAGAATGCATTCACAAGCATCCATGTTATAACAAATAACATTAATATTTAAGGCATAACGGGTCTAATGAAACATAAGATGAAGACCAAAACAAATGAAATGCAAGTTTGGAAACCTCTTCTATGCGTTTCTCAGCTGATGCAGCATCTTCATCCAAGGGCATGTTAGGCATATAGTAGATTGGAGGCTCTGCTTTAGTCCTGCAAAAATACATTCAATCAAATATCAGACGAAAATTATCAAAGAAAATTTTAATTATCTAAAATCCTGCACTTAGCAGGAAACATCGAGTCATCAAATTGCATCAATATTACAATGCACGTGAACAGAAACTTATCTTCGTCTCAATAAAATGTGAATATGGACACTTTTGGACCAAAATTAAAAATAACCTGCAGAGCATTTCATGGTATGACGTTAGATACAATAATAGATGTCCAGAACAAACTAGCTAAACATTTTGACATGAATGGACTCTTGACTCATAAAATTACAGTTAAATGGGACAAACCTTATAAAATTGCTTAGTCGTTTATGATGCTCACTCCACCGAAGAAAGAGTAACTCCAATTTCTTTTCTTCTGTCTTAGCAGCCACACGTGCCCTAAGTGTCTGATGAGAATTGGCAAATAAAAATAGTATGTAATTAAAACATTTGTTAATGGAATCAAAATGAAACTTGAGAGCATGAAGAGCAAAGAATAGTTATCATTTGAGAGCCTACCAAATCCCTCCTCCGTTTTTCAGCAATCTGCTCGCGCTCTTCTTTCCTAAGCCTTTCACTTTCCTCCCGTGCTCTTTGCTCAGCCTACGAAGGAATTCCAAGGTATTTGTGATTATTATGAGGCTTGGGATGTTAGCATGAGATAAACAGATAGAGAGAAGACAATGTGACAATAAAAATTACTTTAGTTCTGCATATAGAAGGGCCTGGCACTTGCAAGCACAGTAATAGATTGTACATTTGATTTTGGCATAATATTCACAAGTCTAATTTAAAAGTGGCACACTGCACCCTGATCTAATCGTTATAGCAATAATTCTTAAATTGGCCATCAAAATTGGCAGTAAAATTAATCTATAGCGCCAATACATGATATTCCATTAAGCTTTATGGCAGGTATGCATTCAATTGAATGTACATATTTGCCACTAAAAAAACTTATTTGTTTGGACTTCAGACCCCGTAAAACATGTCCATTTAATTGAGAACTGCATTTGTAATCACAACCATCAGCCATCTGAAAAACTTATGCACTCTAACAAATTTTAACATTAACTATGATAGCCAGTTGTATAGGAGGGAACTATCAATCTATAAAGGTTAGTAAGGAAAATGCACATTAGGCCTGATACTCGGGTGGCAAAAGAGCAATACTCCCTGATATATTAATCTCGTGCATATGCAAAGAAATAACGAAAACATGAAAAGAATGCATTGTCTCAGAAAACTGAATTACAAAAGGAAACATTTAGACATGATGTGGCTGGTTTTCTTCAAAAAAGATGAACATATTATGTGCCCCCTGACTCCTGTTTAAGAAACTTTAACAAGTCCCAAAATTTAATTTGACATGTAGCCGATCAAAGTCTACTTATGAGAACATGTCAAATGAGTATTTCTAGAAGAGAAACCACAAATATTCAAAAAATGATGTATTCATCAAATTGTTGCACCGAGTTTTACAAGAGATTCCAAATAATATTAATAAAGACAATGGCCAAGCATAAACTTATCATTAAACGCATATTTCATAATTCTAAATCTCCTTAAACAAAGTGTCATGTGAATTATTTTAATGTGTGTGCATAATATTTAATGACGCAGATGGCTATAGGCATTGATTATGTTTACTTTCAAGTGTATGCATTATATTTAATGATACAGAGGGGTATAGGGCACTGATTGTGTTAAATGACACAGATGGCTATAGGCGCTGTTTAAGTTTAATGACACAGATGGCTATAGGCGCTGTTTAAGTTTAATGACACAGATGGCTATGAGCGCTGATTAAGTTTAATGTCACAGATAAGTTTAATGACACAGTTAAGTTTAATTACACGGATGGCAATAGGCACTGATTAAGTTTAATGACACAGATCGCTGTAGGTGTTGATTATGTTTAATGACACAGATGGCTATAAGCGCTGATTAAGTTTAATGTCACAGATAAGTTTAATGACACAGATCGCTATAGGTGTTGATTATGTTTAATGACACAGATGGCTATAGGCGCTGGTTATGTTTAATGACACAGATGGCTATAAGCGCTGGTTATGTTTTAATGACACAGATGGCTATAACCGCTGATTAAGTTTAATGACACAGATGGCAATAGGAGCTGATTAAGTTTAATGACACAGATCGCTATAGAGGCTGATTATGTTTAATGACACAGATGGCCATAGGCGCTGATTATGTTTAATGACATGGCTATAGGCGCTGATTGTGTTTAATGACACAGATGGCTATAGGCGCTGATTATGTTTAATGACACAGATGGCTATAGGCGCAGCATCCTCACAATCCACTCCATCAATAAGATGAATCTTCATATTAAAATGGACATGAACGAACTTACTCTTTGCAACGAATTAGATCTTCGCATATATGCCTCAGTTCCTGAGAGCTGCTTGTCTTCTTTTCTGAATTTCTGGAACAGTTGAGTACAAAAGAAAAATATAAGTATAGAGAAATAATAATAACAACGATGAAATTTTAGAGGGAGAGGGAGAGAATATAAATGTACACGGTAAAGAAAAATTGAGCACATAATATAGAGTAACAATATAACATCCATACCTCCAGAGTTCCCAAAAGCTGACCCAGCATTCTTTTATTCCTATTAACCAAGCTTGGGTCCTCATTCTTAGGCAACACCCTCGGAACATGTTCTGAAGGAGGAATCTCAAAAGCCTTACATGAATAAAAAAGGTTAGCACATCAGATATAAAACTTTAAACCAATAATCATCATTCATCAAGGTAAAAAAAAAAAGACATATATTGCATTTACCCACCTTAGAATTTCTTTGATAGCCATCTCTTCTAGAAAATCCACTTTGGTGAGAATTAAAATGGTTCATATCATTCTGACCAGCGGCAGCATTCCCATTGTCACTTTTGCCAGTTGAATCCTTTGTGTTCCCAGCATCAGCATCTTCAATCAACTCCCCTTCCTCAAGCTTCACTCCCAAACAAGATATACAATTTAATTATTTAAAAAAAAGGCCTTTAGTATCCCTTTGCGGGAGAGGGGTCCCGATTTAGTGCCCTTATGTAAAAGATTATACAAAAAAGTACTTTTTGCATTCAATAATTTTTAGATTATTTAATAAAAGCAGAAGCTGCATTGTGTTTGTTTACCATGATGAAAATCCCCTAACAACAACTATCTATCAAAAATGGTTTTCAAGAGAAAGTACTCAACAATTTAAGCTGTCTTTTAAACTATCAGACAATGCACACTACTGCATTTGAATTTTGAACAACCCCGCATATAATCCACTGAGACTAAGGAACACTAATACCAAAAAAATAAAAACTAAACTTGGATATAAAAATTAATTGCAAAAAAAAAACGGAAATACCTTAACAATAGCTGATGAAAGTCGACGTTTGGCAGGAGGTTGATCTTCAGAATCATTATTATCTACACCCTAAAAGAACAATTAAATTTAATCATAATTGAATTGAAATCAAAAGTAATTGAATTGAACCCTAATATAGATGAAACAATAGATTCTCACAGGACGAAGAAAGGAACGTTGGCGAATAGCATTGTTGCGTAGAATAGGAGCTGGTAGAGCGCCTTTGCGAAGGCCACGAGGATCTCGAAGCCTCTCAGTTATCTGAATGCAAAATCAATGAATCACCAATCAAATTCAATATCGAGAGAGAGAGAGAGAGAGAGAGAGAGAGATAATAACCTCGCGCTGTTGGCGAAGAAGTTCATCGATCTCGCTGCGTAATTCTTGTTCGGTCTTCTCCGCCGCCGCCGTACTCCCCATTGGTATCTGTCAGCAGAAAAAGGAACTATCTTCACAGTGTCTGCAAATTATAAAACCCTCGCAATGCATATCATACTTTATTTACTTCATAACCATTAAACCTTTTCTTTTCTTTTCTATTTTCCACTTTCACTCTTTTTTTTTTTTTTTTAATTAGGTTAGGTAAAATTGTACTTTTCTTTTATCAAAAGAAAGAATTATATTCTAAAAAATCAGGAGAATACAAAGTCGTTCGGAAGATTTGGGCAACTAAGAGACTATAACGATTAGTCGACAGAACGATTACAAACTAACAAATTTTATTACAATACAAAACAAACTTTCTGTCATTCTCTGCTCTTAAAAGAATTACATCAATGATCAATGATATCTCTACTATGGAGACAATCAATTGTCTTGTTCCGAAAAATAATCTTGTTTCTAGCTTCCAGATAGTGTACACGGTTTCAGATATAGCAATTTTCAGAAGTCTTTTCTTGCATCATTTACCTCGTGTCATTTGGCAAATCCAACTCAGTTCATTATCCCACCCTATGAATTATGGGTTATATTCATCCATCTCAAAACTTGGATCCATATATCCTTGGTCACATCGCACTCAAAGAACACTGATCACAACTTTCACGTAAACCACAAAACACACAATTACCATCGGTGGCAGTATCAAAATAATGTAATGTATCTTTAGTAGGTAGTTTATCCTGATAGGTTAGCCAAAGAATGAATGTCGCTCTTGGTCTAACACGACTTCCATAGAAAATTCTTCTCCAATTCACTTTAGGCTTGACACCTCTCAAACATGTGGTATACCTTATTTGTTCCGTACCTTCATGTAGTTTGAAAAGAAGTTCATATTGCAAAATTGCACGAGGGTATCACGATGTTTGAACATAACTTTAAGAATTCAAGAACAATGTCCCGCAAAAGTATAAGAATTGTAGGAATAAATACGTTAGCCCAGCATTAGCGTATCACGATGAATATATACATTAGAATATATGGTAGGGACTTAGTGTATGAATTGTACTTTGTTTTGTTATTTATCTAAATTCATTTTTTTACAAACAATTTTAATGTGGATATACGAGGAGAGGAGATTTGAATGTTATCTCTAATTATATGAAATTAATTTTGAAAATTGTTTATCTCACCCTAACAGAGGGAAAAACACCATAAAAAATTAAAAAATGTTGTTTTAGATTATGAAATGTATTTCTGGACGCACTTTTTTCTTACCAAATCATGTCATAAGTGAGTTTCACGCCATATTTTTGGGAAATTTTAGTTCATAGATACATATCCAGATTCACCTATACGACTATTCACATCTCATGCATTTCTAACTGAGACATACACATTTTCATATAAATTGATCAGAGATACGTCTTTATATTCACACCAGACAGAATTCAGAGATATATTTTTGTATTCAAACCAGACAGTAATTTTTGACATTGTTTTAGAGATACACTTATGTAATTGATGATGTGTTATAGTTATACTTTCATATTCATATTTATATAAATTAAACCATACACTTATGTAATTGAGTATGTCGAACTCGGACTTCATTATGTATTATCGCTTGACCAACCAGATATATGTGGGAAGTGCTAGAGAATCCAAGGCTGAAAATGGTACATATGAATCATTAAAGATGATGTAACACATATGTTATAAAAATGATACACAAACACTAAAAGATGCAAATACATTATCGTCAATAGTGTGCGATTTCCTGTCATTTGTTTTGTTTTCCACATACAACTTGCAACTAACTTGGAGTACAGGTAGAGCAAACAAATGACCCTCAGTTGTACTCATGGATCCGCTCCAAGTTAGCGAAGTATCTCAGGTACACCACATTCACATAGTGGCACTCTTGTCTACAAAAACGGATGTGCCAACCAAATCAACAGCTATACTCTTTGAGTGTATGCTCTATGATGCATAACCTGCTCGTCATTACCAACGACCAACTTTGTCGCATGCAACTGTTATGGATACAACGTAACACCCCAGTTATATTTTAATATTATTAGTATTATTTTAATATTTTTCATATTATTTTTATATAAATATTTGAGTGTTGATATGATTTTATTTGATTAAATAAATATTATAATTGGTTTATTTAATTATTGAGTGGTGGAGTTTTTATTGAGAATTAGTTTAATATTTAAATTAATTAATTAAGAATAAGAGAAATTGTCAGAATAATTAGTTTGGGGAGAAATATAGATTTTATTTAAAATTAAGAAAATAAAGTAAAAAGGTGAAGTTAGTAAGAAGGGTGAGGTGAAAATAAGGAGATTAGGGTTATTTTCATTTATAAAGAGAAGTTAGAAGAAAATTGTGTAGTACGTGAGAAATTAGGAAAAATGGCAAAAAGAACTTTCGAAGAGCTTAAAGAGCGGAGAGAATTCCAAGAAGGCGAAGGCTCATCATTCTGCAATTTTGAGGTAAGGCAAAATTGTTCATATATGGGTAGCTAACCAGAGGGGTGGTGAAGATTCCTTACCCTCGTGTGTTTTCCCTTTTTCATGTAATTTTTAATTGATATTTTGTTCGTAGTCAAAGGGGGTTTGGGTAAAACCCTTTAAGGCGATCGATTGATAATATTTTTACTCTCGAATATGATATGAAATCTTAGTTGATATGTATTCTAATATTGATAAACTTGTTGATGCCTTTTGATAAGGCATAATTGATTGAATAAGTAATGGTTATGCCTTAAAGTAAGCGGGGCACATATGAATCTATATGTTTTTTCTTTTGAGTTCCTATTAACATTGATTAACCAGTGTTAATGTATTTTGATAAGGAGAGAGTAATTGATATTACTTATTGATGTATTTTGATAAGGCGAAAGTAATTGATATCATCCATTTATACTATTTGATAAGGCGGGAGTCGATTTTATTGTTGCTTTATGATAAGGTACGAGTTAGAATGTTTGATTTTTAATGGCTATGTTTATCTATATGTTTTTGGGGCAGTGAGAACTCAAATAGGTGAAATAGGCGAGTTTTGGAACTCAAATTCATCTTCAGAGGCCTTTATACGAATCCATTGAAGCATTTGATCACGAGATTCAAGTATATGGAAGAGGTAGCTACTATCGAGCCGTTCACGATCGTATATAGGAAGGTTCATGTGGAAACTCCTAAAAAGAATATTCATCCCATCACTGTCTGTAATCCTAAGCCATTCCCGTATCAAAATTTGAAAGAGGTTCCTTGGAAGTACGACCCAACAGTGTTCTCTAGGGGTCGAGAAATCCAGTTCCCAAAATCTTTAATTGTGAACGTAACCGCCACTAGAGGGATGACTTGTAGCGGACGAGTGTTTGCTCCGAAGGTCGTATCTAAGCCAGTGCAAATTCCAACTGTTGTTCCTCCTAAGAAGAAATCTACTTCAACAACCCCTGTTGTACAACTAGGGGCATCAACTGCAGCATCAGTTCCAGTCACTCCGTCTGCAGATGTCACCAAAAGCAAAGAAGTCATGGATGATTAAGAGTTCCTCAAGTTGATCAAGAAGAACGAATTTAAGATTGTGGATCAGCTAAGGCAAACTCCGTCGAGGGTTTCTATCTTATCTTTGCTCATGAGCTCGCCAGTGCACAGATCAACTTTGTTGAAATTTTTGAACACCAGTCATGTGATGCACAAAATTCTAGTAGAACAATTTGACAACGTCGTCACGAACATAAGTGCTAGTCGGTACTTGGGTTTCAACGAGTCAGAGTTGCCTCCTGAAGGTACTGTCCATAATAGAGCCTTGCATATCTTAATGACATGTATGGACTCTTTGCTATCTCATGTTCTTGTGGATACCGGTTCTTCTCTCAATGTGATACCTAAGGGTACATTGAGTCAACTATTGGTAGAGGGGAGCGGAATGAGACCAAGCGCTTTAATCGTTAGAGCTTTTGACGGTTCTCGAAGGAAATTCATCGGCAAAGTAGATTTACCCATTAAAGTCGGGTAGCATTTGTTTAGCATTACTTTCCAAGTGATGGATATTAATCCTGCATATAGTTGTTTATTGGGTAGACCCTGGATCCATGTCGCAAGGGCAGTTACATCCATGTTACATCAGAAGTTGAAATTCATGTTTTAAGAACAGATGGCCATCGTGTGTGGTGAAGAAGATTTGCTAGTAAGCGAGTTATCATCCTTCTGACATGTCAAGACTGATGAAGGCATAGCTGAAGTGTCGTTGCAATGTCTCGAATTTGAAGATGTCAGCTCCGCTTCTATCAATTCTGGTAGATTACCAAAAACAACCATGTCATATGTCAAGAGCGCTAAAGAGACCATTGAGAAAAGTGTCTTGCCTGGTTGGGGGCAAATCTTGGATGTGGTTGAAAAGCATGATTGCTTTGGACTGGGTTATCATCCTGATCAACAAGTTAGCTCACGTAGTCATCAGAAATGCAACTTGATCAAGTTCACAAGCGCTGGATTCCAAGAGAGGGATATTGTGTCAGCCATTGACGATGCAGGTCCTAGCAGCCGAAGTACAAGCTTCGTACGCAAATGTCCACCGGGTTTCAGGCTCAACAATTGGACATCTACTGTGATTCATGTAGTTTTTCCTACAACCATGTAATGCATTTTGTTTTCCTGTTCCCTCGTCCTCGCTCAAGACAAGTGGATAGCTTGTAAGGACCTCGTGCTTTTGAAACATTATGTGATCAATAAATAAAAGTTTTTTGCATTCAAATCATGCTCTTTTCTTTCTTTATTTTAATTTTTCACAAATAAATAAAGTAAAAGTTTCTTTTGTTTTTTTCACCTTTCTAATAGATTCATTCTAAACATAATTTATAAACATGCAGAACAAATAATTACATTGATAACAACTTGGCAAACATTCGTTGTAATTCTGGGATTTCGATTAACCAAGCTGAAGAAGATGGTGAGGAAGATTGTGAATTACCGGCTGAACTAGAAAGGCTCCTTGAGCACGAGCAGAAAGAGATTTAGTCACAC